CCACGAAGCCCCCATCTCGTGCCGCGCCGTTTTTACAGCCTGGAGTCGAACATGTGCTTTTCCATCAGAAACCCGTCGATGCAATGCTGCAGCCCCCCAAGATACCCGGCCGCCGATGCCATTTTGCCCTCGATCACCGCACTTCCCGAGTGGGAAGCACGGCTGAACTTCGCTGCCGAGGTCCCAGCTCCCTGAACCAGGTTGACTTGTTTGCTTTCATTCTGAGCTCCTCCAACCTCCTCCAAACCCGCATCAAACACTCGATTCCCCAAGAAGCCACACTCTGCACGCGACGTCGGAAGAGCGGGGGGGGAGAAGACGAGGCGAGACGAGACAAGCCCGCGGAATCCACCTCTGTCTGACCGAGCGCCAGCTTTTCACGGGATTCTGGGAGTGGGCAGCTCCGACCCCCACGGACAACTCATCATAGCCTGCAGCTCACTCCCTTGAATGAGGCACTGGCCAGTCGGCGTTTCTCAGGCGCGCGACCTCGGATGAGGGCCGGCTCGGACGGCGCGGGAGACCGCGTAAGTGAGCTGCTTTGCTCTTACTGCTGGCCCCCGTTCGTCGCCCCCCCCCCGCCCCCGCCCGCCCGCCCGCGCGACCCCGACCCGCCGCCCTCCCCCCCGCGCCCAGAGCCTCGGCGAGGCAGGGTGCCTGCCGCGAAGACGCGCAGGCGGGCGCGGCGGCCCTCGAACTCTGCGACCGCGCTGGTCCAGCTGCTCTCTTGCCTTCGCGCGGTCGGCCATCGCCTTGCGCTGGATGTCGCGCTGCTTGCCTGACGCGGTGGGGGCCGCTGGGACGCCCTGCGCCGCGCTCGCCTCGAACGCGCTGAACACCGCCGCCGCGAGGTCCGACGCGCCTCGGGTTGTAGCCGGCAGAAGGCGAGCCACCAGGAGCAGGAGCTCGCTGTGTTTGTTGTCGCCCTTTCTGCCGTCGCCGCTCTTCTGCATTTTCTGGGGCGGAGCCCCTCCGGGCCCGACGATGCGCCCCCGGTCGTCGCTGCTGGGTTGAAACCGCGACGGCGCCTTCAGCTCTGGCGCGCCCCCCCCCCCCCCCCCCAGTCGGTCTCTCTCCGCGCGGCGTAGGGTTCGGTCGACGCCGCCGAATCTCCCGAGGGAGACGCGCGCACAAACTGCTACAGAGAGAATCCGGATCCGCCGCTCTGCGGTCGCAAGCGGGGCAATCGCATGCATATGGGGGGGGGGGGGGGCGCTGACAGCGACGCGGGCCCCCATCGTGGAGCAATTGCCTCGAAGAACAGGCCCGGGGATGCGCCGGGCTGCTGCCGCTTGCGTTGAACATGTACGCATACCGTGTATGCGCACGACGCATGGCGATGCGCGCGCACATGACGATCGTTACGTGCCTCACCACAGACGTTGCCCACTACCGTCTACGATCGCGCGCATGTAATTGCCCCCCCCCCCCCCCCCCCTCCTCGAGTCCTCCGCCTCGCCCTCCGCCCGCGCAGCATCAGCGGCAATCGCGCGCGCAGCAGGAGGCGGAATGCGTGCCCCGAACTCCGCGGCCCTGAGCTCCGAGAAGTCCCAGACAGCGGGGGGGGGAGAGAAAAAAAAAAAAAGGCTGCTTCTGAATCTGCTAGGATGCGCAGGTCTGTGGGCAGCTCATCGATCGCATAATGCTCTAGTCGTTCCAAAGAAAAATCCAAGTCACGAGCTGCTTGGGACGCCCGCGGAGAAGCTGCTGCCGTCGGGGCCCCATCCTCGAGTTGCGGCTCGGCCCCCAGCCTTTCTCCAATCGCGGGCGCGCCAGACATCGCGCAGAGAGGCCGAACGTGCCAGGTCGGGCGAGCGGCCCGCGACAGGCAGAGCTTCAAACGACAAGAGATGAGTTCGGTTATACATCCAGCCAGGCGCCAGCAGCGTAAAATTTGCGCGTCGCCGAGGGGGCGACCGGCGCCGCCCCCGCGTTCGTCGGCGGCGGCCCCCCTCGTAGCAAGCCGACAAAGAGCGGCCAAACACCGCTGCAAGCACGCATAATCACGCTGCTGAAGGACGAAAGGCTCGAGGCAATTACATTGAGCGCCTGGCCCCGCAATGAAGCGCGACGCCACGCGTGGGGCGAGGCCAGTGAACATGCCCCCCCAACCGGTGGAAAAAGCCTCCTTCGCCATCACACTACATCGATATACCTCGCGGCGCGCAGCGCCCCGAGACTTGAAAAGAACGGACCGTGGTAGCGAGCGCAATCTGAAACCTTCAACTGGACTGTCGAGCTGCATGCCCGAAGCGCGCGACGCGGGCAGTCGCAATGTACGAAATGGAAAACGCATCTTGCATACTTAAGTTCTGCCCGTGCCCAATCGGTTCTAGCCCCTCATCAAATAGACCGCCCACCTTCCCAAATTGATGCCTCGATCTGCCAGGGTCATTTTTCAAAGGTCGTCCGCGCACTTGGCCATGCCCAAGTCTGCGGACAAGCCGACCCGGGATGAGGCGGGATCTCGCGCCCTCCCGTCAGCTCGTAAGAAAGAGAATAGCTTTGACCTGATACACCTCCTGGAAGCGTGCCCATAGAACCCAGCACTGCATGACGGACTCCCGTTGGGGCTCCGTTCCGCCGTCGCACTGGGGGTAGGCCCTCCTGCGCGTCAAGCTCAATCATAGCCACGCGGCAGCGCTGACGACGAAGGCCTCGGTCGCGCCCCGCTGCCGTGGGAGATGCTGTCTGGTCCAGTTCGGACCAGGTCGAACTTGCAAATGCACCGCTCATGTCCTTAAACGTGCTCTAATAAGTAACCCTCAGTCTTCTAGCCCGCCACCCTGTAGTTAACGTTGTTTGCACTGCGCCCCCCCGTCGTCGATGTCTTGCAAAACCATGGCAGGCCACCGCCGGGACGGCCCTCAACCTGCAAGAGGAAAAAATGCCCGCGAACGGCAGGGCGCGAACAACTCGGACCCCCCCCTGGGTCCTTCCCCCAGCTTCTTTCGGATCTTCGCGCCCCGAGACTAGCTCCAATATAACGGCGCCTCCTGATATTTCCTCATCTTCGCCCATCCCAAATGCAGCAGATGCCAAAGAACTTGTGGTGATACCTGTTTCTTTTTTTTCTGGTCCCAACCCAGCCCGCGTTCTCTCGCGGTAATTCGGCCACGTGCATGGGTGTTTGGAACCGACTTTCTTTCGCGGGCCCGCCTAGCATGCCTTCTGATCGCCTGAACGTCCTCTGCGCGCAGCTCCAGGACTTCCACGTTCGAAACATCGGAGTATACCCCCCCCCCCCCCTTTGTCAACCCTCGACTCCTTCCAGTTGTTCTAAGATTCTTCAACTACCTGCACGCCGCCGCCTGCCCCGGACTTGCCCCGCGCTGCGAGGCAGGATTCGAGACTAGGAGGAGCACAGCGCACTGGGCGACCATCGCGACGTCTGGGCCCGCACCGCGCACGGGCTGCGCGACGAGCGAGTCTCATACCTTCTGCTGCGCGCCGCTGATGACGAATACCCACTGCCTCTGAAGCAAGCTGGGATCGAAGCCCGCGTGTCGCTCGGCGTCGATCAAGATAGAAATGATGAGTCAACTCCTTCATCTCCTGATGTATACGAAAAGCCTCCTCGGGTGTCGCATTGGATTTTCCGCTCCGAAGTTGAACGCTGTGCCAGAAGGTTTCGACGCCTCAAACAATCCGCTGAATGCGACGGCCTTGATTCACGAGCTCGAGCGATACAGGCTGGACAAGACTCCGCTAGAACTCGCCCCAGCACCTCGAAAATGCGTCGGGAGAAACATTATCTCTGAACCGCTGCAGAGGAAGTGAATCACCTCTTGCCTTAAGAGCTGCCAGACAATCTGCGCGCCAGCGGCCTTCTCGCAACGATACCACGAAGCGGTCCATATCCCATGACTCCTGCTGGGAAGGTTCGACCACTGCGCCCCCATGCTTCTCAGACCGTAGGACGTCCAGCACAGGGACATGGCCTCTCGGAGAGATCTCCTTGACGGCCTGCAACTTGGCACTCATACGATGGTGTGCCCGACGTGCGACTACAGCTCCATGCATTGCTCGCGGGAGGATAAGATAGTAAATTCGTGAATGGCCAGCCGTCCCAAAAATAGTTTATTCAATCTCGGTGCCGAAAGAGTTCGCGGCCAGCCTCTCATGAGTCTCCACCAACGTGCGTATCCGATGGCCTGCGCCATTCACATATGTCTCTCGATTCGGGATGCCGACCACTGGTGGATCAATCGGCGCCCACACCCCCTCCGAACGGACTTCGCCCATCCCGGCGTTCAGGTCACAAAAAACAATCAGCGTGCAGCGGTCAGCGTGCAGCGAACAGGGAAATACATTAAATAGTTGCCAGCCATGTAATAATCTCAGCGACTGTTCTGAAATAGCCTCCATGTTGCGCCTTATCTCCCGACGGGGTGGGGAATGGCAAGCTCGCCCATGTACGAAGTAACTCGTGCCGGGCCTGCACCTGACGGTTGAAAGCGATGGAGCATCCACAACTATGGTTGCTGAGCGGCGACGGGTAATACGGTGCAGGAGTGCAAAATATCCCTGCGCAACATGTGTTGTGGACGTGCGGTGCATGATGGTCGTGCTCGACCTGTTGCGTATATGTTAGAAGAACCAAATGAAAGATCCGCGCTTCACCCAGGAGTTCAGGAAGAAGCTCTCCTGAAGTCTGCACGGGGTTGAATCCAAGAATCGTGCAAAGAGACATACCTACTTCCCTTTCCCGCTGGGCCACAAGTTCCACCCCCCTCGTGTGTGGCGGCCGCCGAAATACTTCGAAACGCGCGTGGAGAGCCCCCCTCCCCTCCTGCAGTATCTCGATGGAAAATGGGCTTGGAGGAGGAGGAGGAGGAGGAGGAGGAGGAGGAGGTGAATAGAGGAGTGGAGGGAGACGCAGCAGAGGGGTGAATGGAGGAGGAGCAGCAGCGGGGATGCGAGGGCGAGGGCGAGGACGAGGACGACGACGCCAACGACGACGACGACGACGTTGCTGGCGGAGACGACGCCCCTGGCGCCACTCGGCGAAAGCGGCGTCGGTGTCCGCAGGCGGCCCCGAGGCCAGGCAACGTAGCAGCCGGTCCAGGTCGCTGTCGGAACCGCCGCGCGGCCAGCTGGGAGCCGCTTGCTCTGCAGGCCAGGCCGCGTCATCGTCGCTGTCCGAGGCCTCGTCGCCGTCATCCTCGTCGTTGTCGTCGTCGTACTTCTCCTTCTTCCTCGTCCTCCGCCAGCCGCTCCTCCTCCTCCTCCTCCTCCTCCGCCTCCGCCTCCTCCTCCTCCCCCGCCTCTCTCCCCGTCCTCCTCCTCCTCCTCCTCCTCCTCCTCCTCCTCCTCCTCCTCCTCCTCCTCCTGCTCCGCCCCCGCCCCCGCCTCCGCCTCCTCCTGCCTTCTCGCTTCTGCCTTCCGCCATCATCTCTCGCCCCGCCGCTCCATCATCCTGCCAGCGCCCTCCTCACTTCCTTCACGCATACCCCCTACTCTCTTATCCCTCTTCCTGCCTTCTCCTCCGCCTCGTCCCCATCCTCATCCCTAATCCCTTTCCCCTACCAGATGCTGCCCCCCCTCTCTTGTCTCTCTCTCTTTCGCACGGCCGCCGTTGCCTCTGTTCGGCGGGCACGACCCAACTCTGACTGCGGCGTTCTTGCCGTTGTCGTCCAAGTCCATCTTCCCCCCTGCCTCCTTCCCCCCGACCCTGCCCCCCCCCCTCCCCCCCCCCAAGACGAAGCCAGAACTAGGACAACATCGGACCAGGACACATCGGGGATCTCTGAGATCCGGCGGTTCAAGAGGATGCATTAGGCGCCGCGACCGTTCCAGCGTCCCGGAACGCTCTGAAGCGACGTACCCCAATCCTGCCCCCAACCCAACCCTACCGCTGCCCCGTGGCCTTCGGGTCATAGCTCGGCTCTCTGGCGGCCGTTCGGGACAATATTCGGGCACCCCTGGAAACGCTTTCGAAAAGGCGCAGCTGATGCAACAGTTTGACAACTTAGGTTGTGGATGCAATAGCAATGGACATCCTAATGCTCCTATCATTGGATTAAACATGTGTCTGCAATGCTTGAAACAAGTTCTACAAATGTTTCACACATGCTTTAACACCTGGAAATCAAATGTGGCACATCCTTTACACATCTGGAAATGATTTGGCAGCCTGCTTCCTCTCCACTAATCGACTTCCACAAAACTTATGATGACCCCAGCGAGGAACCTTTTATAGCAGCGGAGGTGAAGAGGCGGGTGCCTCAGTGCATGCTGCTGCAAGGGGTCGTGGCCGTCTTTTCAAACATTGCAACTGGCACCGAGGCGAGCACACGACTCCTGAATACAGCGTGTTAGGTCGGGCCTGTCCCCATACAGGGAGATTTGGGATGAAAAAAAAATACGCCAAAAATGCTCGACTGCGACTCTACTGCCAGACCAAACGACCTTGGGCTCCCCAGTCCCACCTGTGGGACTCTCTCGTGGTTTTTGTTTGTTCTACAGTTGTTGGCGGAAAGCCACGAAGGAAAAATGGCAATCGACACAATTCCGAAAACCCCGTTAAGCCTATCCCTCCCCCCTACTTGATTCCCAACGCAATTACGGTGCCCCGCATGGTGCCCAAAGTGTGCCCCAGACGGTGCCAAAAATTCACTGCTCTTGTTCACACGCGGTGTGTGTTCGCGACTGCCTTCCTGGTCTGCCCGGTACCCTCGTGGCCCCATCCCTTGTTTGCCCGAAGCCTTCCTGGCCCTCTATTCTTGTGGGTAGATAATTTGGGGGGAAGGGGTAGTGTCCCCACCCTTTCCCCGTCCTGCTGCTCCTCGCCTCTCCTTCCCCCACTCCTCGACATGGAGGTCTCCTTTGGACGCCCGACATGAGTTCGAAGAAACTGGGTACGTGCCCAACACCATGTGCTGTCCTAAACCGACAGCGGCCGCTGTTCGGCGGGCGGCTCTTTATCTTCAGTGGACAACGACCGCGGCGGCGCGGGCAGCGAGCCCTGTTCAAAATGAGCAGGATCTGCTGTCAGTCGTTGTACCCATCCTTTCCGTACCCTTGGGTGTCCCAAAACCGTGTGGTGACAGACCCGGCGGTGACCTCGAAATCAGCAAAGACCTCACCATGGTCCGTCACCACACGGTTTTGGGACCCTGGAGGCTCCAGTCGCCCGAGACATCCTCGGAGAACGACCCGAGTCCCAAAACCGTGCGGTGACCCCGAATCTCCACCGACTCACCACACGGTGTGGTCGCCACACCGTCTGGGAGCCCCCGGGTACCCCCTTCGATCGTCCCGATCTCTGCCAGAGATCGGGGCGATCTCTGTCAGAGAGCGGCGGCTCCGCCGGTCAGTGACCGGCGGAGCCGCCCCTCGGCCAGCCGAGCGCCGTGGGCGCTCTTCCCGCAGGGGCCCCCGTTGCCACCTCGCCGGGCGGCGCCCCGCGGACCGGGGGCCGGGGCGCGGAGCGAGCGCGAGGCCGCAGTGAGCAGCACAGCCAAGGCCCTCTGCAGACTGGAAGCAGTGGTATGACGCGAGGATGCAAGTCAGGAGGAAAAGAAACACACAGACACAATTAATCCTCGATTCCCCAGAAAATATGGGAAAATATTGGAAGTGGGGGGGAAGACAAAAACCCAGAAAATATTGGAAAATATGGGGAATCTTTTTATTTGTGTGTATTTATTTGTGTGTCCCAGTTCCCCTTCAGCAAGGGCACCCTTGGGAGGGGCGCCCATTCTTGCGATCGGTTCCGGCTGTGCAGCAAGCCCTCGCGCTGCGCCGGGGCAGAGGGTCTGGCGTGCGTGCGAGCTTGCCCCAAGGCTCTGTGCTTGTTCGGCTCTCATGCGGATTCCCACGCATGGTATGCAGGTGTGCCTCCTTGATGTCTTACATATTTTGCCGATGCGCCGACAGGGCGCAGCTTTCTGTCAGTCAGTAGTCGAGCGAGCGCAAAGAGGGGGATCAGGTTGCAGTCATCGTGCTGTGGCAGGTTCGTGTCGTGACGACCCTGGCGTTGGCTTATGGCACCGCGTGGATCGCTCCACCTTGAGCCATCGGTGGTTCACCTATCGCCAGATCATTCCATGTTGGCCGATTCTGGGCCCCCTGCGGCGTTGAACCTTGAGCGCCCGCGACGGGGTCGCCGCCGCGTCGACACGACACGAGCTGACGGTACCAACAGTAGCACCATGGCTATCATCTTGTCCCCGAATAGGCCCAAGGATGATGGGCCGATGTTCCACCACCACTACCATCGGTTGGAGAGGGAGGAGGCGGAGGGGGAGGGGGAGGGGGAGGAGGAGGAGGAGGAGGAGGAGGAGGAGGGGGAGGAGGAGGAGGAGGGGGAGGGAGGAGGCGGAGGAGGAGGAGGAGGAGGAGGAGGAGAAGGAGGAACTCCCCATCGTCCCTTCAACGCTGTCCTGCCTGTGGTGGTGATGGTGGTGGTGGACGACTGACCCATCGACGGAGGAGGAGGAGGAGGAGGAGGAGGCGAAGGAGGAGGAGGAGGAGGAGGAGGAGGAGAAGATGGTGGTGGTGGAAGACTGGCCCAGCGACGGAGCAAAGAGGAGCGCCGAAGCGGGAACGACGGGGCTCTCCTGGCCACGAGCGGGCCTCGGCCACGAGCGGGTGCCCATGGCCCAGCTCTGAGGAGCGCCACCCTGGAGCCAGAGCCCCTCCCGAGCCCGACGCGGCCCTTGTTCGGGAGCTAGGGGGCCACGTGCGAACCCTACCCCTACCCCCCACGATTTTCGAGGGGGAGGGTGGGGTTCACGTCGTTCGAGAGCTCCCGAGCAAAGTGAACCCCACCCTCCCCCTCAAAAATCGTGGGGGGGTAGGGGTAGGGTTCGCATGTGGCCCCCTAGGAGCCCACAAAGCGAGTAGGGGATCGACTGCAGAATCGATCCACCCCAAAGTTGATTCCCTCGTCGAGTCCTACGCAGGATGCTCGCAGCTCTGCGCACACTCTGAACATTTCTCACGGCTTCGATGGGCAAATCAACCTGGGGATACATCAATTATGTAGTCGATCCCCTACTCGAACAAAGGACGTACGCGCCCCAACCACGTACATGAACACAGCCCCCAAACCCGCGAGACCGACCGCGTGATGAGAGCGCTCGCGCAACGCGTACTCTTGAAACCAACGTGAATTCATGCACGTGCACGTCCTTCTTTCGCTCCCGACTTGTTCCGTCGTGTTGGCTGTACGACCAGGTATTCGAGCGAGGTAAAGCGAGTGAGCGCCAGGGACGGCGAGGAGGACGAGGAGGAGGAGGAGGAGCAGGAGGAGCAGGAGGAAGAGGAGGAGGAGCAGGAGGAGCAAGATGAGGAGGAGGAGGAGGAGGAGGAGGAGGAGGGTCAGGGCCGGGTCTTCGAGCGAGCGCAGGCCAAGACAGAGGCCAGGACGTCGAGCGGGCGCAGGCGGGAAGCAGAGCTGCCCGCCAGCTTCTCGATCGTGCCGTCCACTCCTACGAGATCCGGAAGTGTAGCCGAGAGGGTTGGCAACGAGCCTGGCCCCGAGAAGGAGGGTTCGGAGGAGGGAGGTGGGGAAGGAAAAGGAAGGAGGGAGCAACAGTACCCCACGGCGCGTGCGGGCCAATCACCCGAATTCCAGCGCGAGCGCGCGGCAGTACAAGACGGCGCAAGAGGTGCTCGGGGCCTGACCCCCTGCGGTCATGAACTATCCCGCGCAGGTGGTGGATTCACGCTGAGCAGGCCCCCGACTGCTCAATCAAGATCAGAATTTCATGATCCCCAGCACGCCCAGGAGGTGTCGGAGTCAACGGCACATGAGCTGGCCGATGGAGCAACGCAAGCACATCGTCCACCTGGCGGTCCTACAGGAGAAAGCGCCGATTGCAGACTCTCCCCTCCGCACACACACACAAGCAATCATAGACTCTACTCTCTCGGCCCTAGAGCCTAGATAACCCAGTCACATGCATTCGGGCCTCTGTGGGCCATAAGCCACCCCAGGTCTTGAGAATCGCCCGCCTAGTCCGCGTCCCCCGGCGACTGCGGACGCATCGCAGGGCATGCCACCGACTGGAGAGATGGCCCTGAGGTGGACCACCCTGGGCCCCGACGCGGCAGACGAGGGCCGCAACATCTACTGGGACCGCCATGCGACAGCTACTTCTGAAAATTGACGACTAGCGCGCACTTGCCGACGCGTATGCCAAGGGGCCCTGCCCCCTGGCGAGCGCCACATCGCCAAAGAAACCCCCGTCGTCCTAAAAGCCGCACTCGGTGGGCTCCGCCCCGCTCCCTCCCAGGGGGCGCCTTCTCAACGACCACGAGTGAAACCACAATGACAGAAAACTCGATTCAAAATGCGCCCGAAATTGGAATCAACAACGTCGACTTCGCGAATTTCTGCCGAAAACAGAAGACGCTCTACAAAACGGGCTGTTCAGTCCACAAAACATCAAAGTGGTTGATTCAACGACAGCAACTGTTTGATTCAAGTGCCGAAACAGACAACTTCTAAACAACAAAGAACCCGCCTCCCAATATCACGGCTCTGAGCTTCTGATGGCCCCAAGCGGGTCCTGGCCGCAGCGGCCGACGCGGCGGCGCCCGCTGGTCAACAAGTACTTGGAAGCATTACCACGCAGCGCGCCTTGAAACAAACATCCTGGGAGGTCAAAGGTGGTCGCGGCACCGGTGGTTGTAGACGCCAGGTCCTGCTGAACACAGGACTGGACAGCAAAAGGGGCCCAAACACTTGAAAGGCCGCTGGAGCGGGGTCGCCGCAACTCTAGGGGGCAAACAAACCTACCTCGCTTTTGACCACCCTCGCTTCCAAGAGATACCAAGCGATGCCAAACTACGGCCCGTACTGGTCAGGCCGCTTGACGAGGCGGCGCGTGGTATGACTTGGTTTTGCCTGGAAGCGAAAGCGGGGTAGGTAATCCACGCTCTGAAACTCAGACTCATGGGTGTCCTCCTGCCGGTGGGCATGCGCAATCGCCTCCGTCAGTGTCGTCTCCACCACGAGGCGCAGTCGCGCCCAGGAGACCTGCGAGTGACCCGTCAGCGAGGAGAGGACGTGCTGGCAGAGCGTCTGCCTATCATCCCACAGGCTTGATGCGAGGTCCTCCGCGGCGAGGTCCACGACAGTGACGTCGTCGGCCACCGCCGCCCGCCGCCGAGGCAGGGACGGGTCGGGGGCATCGTCGTCGTCGCCGTCGTGGCGAGCCGACAAAGTGAAGATCAGCTTTGCCATCAAGACCACCCACACAGAACTGGAGGCAGTAATCATCAAGGGGCTGAAGCTGATGGGCGGTCAGGCAAAGGTGGGACCAGCGCCTCGCGGACCCCTCGAGCGACTGGCCCAGGAGCTACTGACGGAAGTGGAGGGTGGAGACGGCGGCAGCTGAGCAGTACACAGCAGGTGACGATGGGGCGTCACTCGGTGAGACTCTTGAGCTTGGTGCAGGCTGGGCACGTTTCTGTCCAGGAAGCGCTTGCGCTAGCCTCCAGCACTGCGCCTATTGCTCCAATTCGGCGAGTCGAAGCGCAGGCGCCCGCCAGAGGGAAGGGGGGGGGTCGGACGTCGTCGAGTCGGGGGAGGGGTCGGGGAGGATCGAGAGGATAATTTTTTGTGCGACTGTTTCTGATAGGACAGGCTCACGAGTTTATCAGCAGAGCGTTGTCGTGGAAAATTCGTTCATGGGGCTCTGAGCCTCGTCACCCTGGAGGGTGCTGAATGGCCCCTGAGGCTAAATGTCGGCTAACCAGGGCGCTGTAGCCAGCCCGTGTACGCATCCCGTACCAGCGCAGTTGCAGCCAGTACTCCCTATAGCAGGTACTCAGAGCACGTCCCACTTTGGCCAATTTTTGTTCAGGATGTTCGGCTCAGTGCCGAAACGAGTTTTTAGCAACGATGCAAAGCGGACAATCGGACATCGCTCCTAGAGTTGTTGAGTTGAGTTGAGTCGTCGCAGGCGTCACCGTCGCCGTCTTTGGGGGTGTCGTCGCGGTCGGTCGTGAGCGTCGTCGTTGTTCTTCTCCTCCTCGTCCTGTGGTGACGGCGGAGTCTAGCCGCCGGCTCAGCGCGGTGGGTGGCGCCAGTGGGATGGCATGCAGGTAGCTAGCCTGGCACAGTAACTGGGCGTGTAGCTCGAGCTTAGTGCAACACTGCGGGGACAATGGGGTGCGCCCGCGGAGGCCAGGCTCTGGCGAGGGCTCGAGCTCCCGGGCGCTGTGGCGAGCTCCCGGGCGCTGTGGCCTGGGCTCGGAGGTGTCGGTCCGCGGCTACAGCGGGCTCGCAGTCGCCATGCTGCCCAGTGATGTCCGATGCGCGATCGTCTCTTGGACAAGGAGCTAGGCACTGTGGCGCTGAGGGTTCCGCCCAAGACCTCCATGAAAAGCGCGCTGGCGACGACGGCAACGCTGGCGGCGACGACTCCCATGACGACTGCGACGACGACGGCGGCGACGACAACGACGCGGGCGGCAACTGCGACGCCAACGGCGGCGGCGCCGACAGCGCCGACGGCCGCGGCGGCGGCGGCCGCGGCGGCGCAGGCCGCGTTGCCAGCCTCTCCGCGGCCGCCACCGCCGGCGCCAGCCGCGCCCGCCACGCGCCCGCGGGGCGGCCCGCGCGGCTCTCCTGGGCGCCGCCCGCCGCCGCCCGCCGCTGCTGTCGCCGCCGCCGCCCTGGACGCCATCGCCGCCGCCGCCGCCGGGGTCGTCCGGGGCAGCGTCGTCGTCGCCGTGATGGTCGTCGGCGTCGTCGTCACTGGTGTCGTCGACGCCGTCGGGGGCATCGTCGTCGCTGCTGCCGCGGCTGCGGCCTCCGCCCTCGTCGTCGCCTTCGCCGCCGCCTGCGCCTCCGCAGACCTCCGGAGGCCTCCAGGAACGCCCGGTGACCTCCACAGGCCACTGGAAGCCTCTGGGGGTCGTCGGCGTCGTCTGCCTTGGGTTCCTGGGGTCTTCTGCCCCGTACGTGGATGCCTCGTGGGCGCCTTGTGCGTGGGATTGGCTCCCTGGGTTCTCGCCCGGTGGCTGCCCCGGTCGTCGTCGTCCTCCTCCTCGTCCTCCTCATCCTCGTCCTCCTCATCCTCGTCCTCCTCCTCGTCCTCCTCCTCGTCCTCCTCCTCGTCATCCTCCTCGTCCTCCTCCTCCTCCTCGTCCTCCTCCTCCTCCTCGTCGTCCTCCTCGTCGTCCTCCTCCTCTCCGCCTTTTCCCGGTCATCCTCCTCCGCCTCCTCCTCCTCCTCTCCTCCTCCTCCTTTTTCCCCTTTTCATCCTCCTCGACGTTCGTCTTCTCGTCCGCGAGGAGCGGCAGCGCGGATGTCCTTCTCCCCGCGGCAGGCCGGAGAGGCCGCCGCGCCAATATGGCATGGCGCCCGGCGCGTCGCGAAGGGGGCGGGCCACGGCACGCCCGCCCCTGGGCCGGCCTGGCGCCACCTCTGCGGAGGGCGGCAGGGGCAGGCCAAAGGGAAGAGGAAGCGGAGGAACTGAAGGGGGAGGAGGAGGAGGGGGAGGAGGAGGAGGAGGAGGAGGGGGAGGAGGAGGTGAGGAGAGGAGGGGGGTGGAGGAGGAGGGGGAGGGGGAGGAGGAGGAGGGGCGGAGGGGAGGAGGAGGGGGAGGGGGAGGAGGAGGTCTGGGCTTCCCGTCCCTCCCAGATCTCCGACGCATGATTTCGTCAATCTCGGGATCCACCAAATAGAAGAAGAAAAAACGCAGTAAACTCAAGGGGCCCTGGGACACACGAATAAAGGCACACAGATAAAACGATTCCCCATAGTTCCCCACATATTCTGGGCTCTTGTCTCCCCCCCCCACTTCCCATATTTGCCAATATTTTCTGGGAGATCGACGATTAATTGTGTCTGCGTGTTTTTTTCCCTCCAGAAAAACACAGATACCCCTGACCCCCTCGCGCTGCAGAAACCACACGGCGGGAGGCCTGTCGGTATGTTCGGCCTCCGGGGACCCTCGGTGCGCCGCGGCACTGTCCAGAAACTACGCTGGATGAAAAAACCGGCTCCTGGACGGGGGCCCAGACCTCTGGGAGTCGACGCTGCGAAGAAATCACGACGACGGGGGTCTGGGACCGCTGCTCGTCCCGAAGGCCCTCTTCGCCACGGCTGGATTCTCCTCGAAATGCTGGTCGGAAGGCGCCCGAGAGCAGGTCTGGGTAGCATTTCTCCCAGGTCTGGCACGGCAGGTTCGCGTCGCGATGGAGGGGGGCCAGGGCAGTGGAGGACTCCAGCATGGGGTCCGAGTAGATGGGGTCGGAAGATCACGCCGCATCGTTGACGCGTCGGCGATTCATCGGCGACGTCGGTTATGCATCTGCGACGTCGGGGTGGAAAAATTCGGGTTCCAAGTCGAGTAGCATCGCCGATGCATCGGCGATGCGGAGCTATCCTCCGACCCCATCTGCCCAGACCCCGCTAACGGAGGCCTGGAGGCAGCCCGGCACAGCGAGTTCGCGTCGGGATGGTGCGGGCGCCGGTTTCTGGCGTCTCGTGGATCATGCAGCCTTTGCGAACGCGGATTTCCAATGACAATTCGCTCGATATCGATTGATTCTGGGCCACTGGCGGCGTCCAACCCTAGACGCCCACCTTGGACGCCCGCGCTGGGATCGCCGCCGCGTCAACGCGGCGCGGCCCCACAGCAAGAGGATACTAGCAATACCCCGACACGGATGTTGGCCAGGTCTTAGTGAGCCCTGGACACGACAGGGCAGTTTTTTACACCGGTTCCGTTCTTCTGTTCTGCTTACTGGTTCCTGCGCCGTTTCTTCACCGTTCTTGTTGCCGGTTCCGGTTCTGGCTCCAATTCCAGAGCCGTTGTTTGCCGTGTCCGGAACCGCATTCAAAGACGGCGGCCGTGCGAAGAGCCAGTGGGTCAAGGCCGCTGACAAGTGCAGCACGTGCTACCTCCGCACCCCGCCCAAAGGGCCTCCTCATGCCCCACCAGGCACTGGCCCTGAGGCCCAGGACACCGGTCCACCGGACCCAGCGGACTGGCGCTGGGCCGCACGAGGGCCGGCAGGCCCTGGCGATGGGCCACCAAGCCCCGACCTCGAACTCGAGGACGCCTCTACCGACGTCCCCCCCAATTGCCCCTGCGGAGGCCACGGGCGACTCTGGCTGTCAGGCCCCTGCGTCCCAGCAGCGACCCCACGGCAGACTGGCAGACACCGAGCCCGGGTCGAAGCTCATGGCCGATACCTGGGAACAGGGCTGAACCCAAACGGTGTTTTTCGTTTTCGTGTTGTTTTGTTTTCCCTCGTTTTATCTTCAATCCACCTCTACTGCAAAACGAAGTCAAAACGAAAACGGCCCACGAGATCGCCAAACACCGTTTAGGTCCAGCCCTGCCTGGGGAACCCGTCCCAGGGCACGACCGACCCGCAGGATCCCGCGCAGACGAGGCCCTGCCTACCGGGAAGCTTGCCGGGCCGACTACCATTACGTCGGGCCTGTCCCCCTACAGGGGGACTGTCGACGAAAAATAAGAAGTACCCCAAAAATGATCAAAAGATACGCCGGCCCCCTTGTGGGGCCACCAGGCTGTAGGCCCGTGATTCGCAGTTTCCTGTACCAGTCGTAGGTTGTAGTTTCCAGTGTTACAGTTCTGCTTCTTGCTGGTTACTGTAACTAGTTGTCTTATTGCTGGTTATTGTAACTAGTTGATTGACCGCGCGAGGGGGGGCGAGGCCCAAAGTGGCTTTTTAGCGTCCCCTGGGCGCGTTGTCTGAATTGCTGGAAGGGCTCGAAATCGACACCCCTCACGCAGATCCGCGGGGTCAGGGTCCAAAAACACACGGGATTTGCCACATTTCTGAAATTCGGTGCCACCCCTCACGCGGATCCGCGGGGTGGGGCTTCAAAAAACACAGGGGATTTGCC